GATTGATTAAATACAAAAATCGATTAAACTTGAATTTACATGTTTTCTTTCCCAACTACTCCCTGCCTTCACTATTGATGTCTTCAGTTTTTGTGTTAGCTATCTAGTAGCTAATTGGTAGGTGTTTAAATTCAGCAACAATTTCTGAATATTCATTAAAAAGCGAAAAAATGAAACCCGTTGTTGCTGTCAATTTTCGTCTTCATGATTTTATTCATCTGCAAAAAAAAGGCCCAACAAATAAAACCCAACTTAGTCAATCTATCTCAACTGTGGATATTAAAAAAAAAAATGTATACTGCACCAGGCTAAACTTAACAAACATTCAACATTCCAATTTTTTTAAAGATTAAAATCCATCCAAGTGTCCTCTAGGAAATGAATGATTCTAATTTTCCTCAATGTGATACTGGAAAAATCATCAGTCCTACTTTCGCATCTATAAAATTTCCCGCTCGAAAAGCTTAAAATATTCTCTAACGAAATAATTGACATAAATTATAAGCGTAATAATGTATAAGAATAAGAATAAGACTATTAATATTAATAATATGACTAACACTAATACCATTACTAGTATTCATATTAATATGAATAACACTAATAATGATAACAAAAATAATAACGATAATATTAACAATGGAATCAACAATATAATAATACCCGTAACAACGTCCATAAATTTTGGAAAAGTGATTTGAAAATGCCACTAAGCCCAGGGCGGTGATATATAGCAACAATATTTATGATTCTAATTTTCAACAGTTAATATAACAGTTAATACTTATATTTATAACAATTAATACTCAGAACGATGTAGTCGAAACGAGCACAAAAAAAAAAAAATATATATATATATGTATATGCATGCATAAATCAGAAAAAATTGTAACAGTTGCAGAGGCAGAAGCAGTAAAAACTTACTCAGTTTTTGCGTCAAAAATCAGAATATGGCAGAAACTGCTCAGCAGCCAATGCTGATAAAAATTTTAACAACATTTCACGGTAGCAGCTTCCACTGCAAACACGTTTGAATGCCGCTTTTTTCTCTTGTTTTTTTTTTTTTTCTTCTCCCTAACTTTTTTTGTTTCTGATCAACGCTCCGCAATAGATGCTCAAAAGCTAAAAGACACTCGAATAACAGAAATAAATTAAGCACAAAAAAATAAAAAATAAAAACAGCTAGTCGGTCAGAAACTGTAATTCTAGTAGATTTAATAACAACAGAAAATAAATAATAAATAAACAAAAGTCAGGAAATATTTGAACAGTAGAAAAAACTTGACCTCACCCACTTGACTAAACTCTGACTAAACTCTGAGAGCATCAAAAAAAAAAAAA